AAAAAAAAAAAAAAAAAAAAAAACCAGCTGAAGCAGCTGAACTCTGGGAAAGAACAGTGGTACTTTCTGGCATTGTTGACCAGGGCTGCTCTCAGTCTCCCCTCTTTGCTCGATCAGGTGCAAAGGCTCTGCCAGGGTGGGATAAACCATGAGGACTGATCCTGAGGCTGCATAAATGTGCACAGGAAAAGGAAATGGGCCCAGCAGAAAGTAAAAGCCAGGGCAGACATGGTTTTGTGGCCTAAACTTTGAATGTATTCTCCTATGCATTGGCAGAGGACAGAAGCTTGAAGGGCTGAGTTATTTGAATACAACCTCTGTTCAGTCATTGGTTGACCATTAAGCTGTGCAGACACAGGGGTGACCCCCAGAAAGCTAACTTTAAAAAGAAAAACATATGTGCAAAGTTGTCAGCAGCTACACATTACAGTGCAGTCGGAAGGGGACTTAGCAGCGTTACAGATCGAACTGAAACAAATTACCAAAGAATAAACAATTCAACAGCAGTGATAAACTTCATGGGGAAAAATCAGACTCTAGAGTTGCTAAAATATACTAAAATGTCCGGTTTTCAGTGAAGTGTAATGTAAGACATATACAAAAACAAAAAAGTATTACCATATTTAGGAAAAAAAAAAGCCATCAGTAGAAATTGTCTGTGAGTGTAGCCAGACACTGGATTTACAAAGACTTTAAAGCAACTATTGTAAATATTTCCAAAGAACTAAATGAAACTGTGTTTAAAGAATTAAAGGAAAATATGACAACAGTCAATAAAAAGTTCTGTAATAAGGAGATAGAAAGTATATGTTCAAAGAACAGAACTAAGTAGAAGTCACAAGTTGAAAAATGGAATAACTGACATGAAAAATTCACTGGAAAAAAAATGACTGAAGCAGCTAACAGCAAATTTGAGATAGAAGACAGAATAAATGAACTTAAATTAATAGAAATTATTGAGTTAGAAAAATAGACAAAAATGGAAAAAAATGAATGGAACTATGAAAATCTGTAAGACAATAGCAAATGTACCAATATACATATAGTGGTAGTCCCAGAAAGAGAGAAGAAAGGGAAAGGGACAGCAAAAAGAAATAATGGCTAAAAACTTTACAAATTTGATGAAAAATATTAATTTATGCTTCCAAGAAACTCAATAGACCTTATGTAGGAAAATACAAAGACGTCTACACTTAGACAAATTTAGACAGATTGTTGAGAGATGAAAACAGAAAAATTTTGGAAGCAGTAAAAGGAAAATAACTTACATAGAAGAAAGCATTAATGCCTAACTAATTATCAAAAACAATGGAGGACAGAAGATAGTAGAATGACACACAGTGCTGAAATCAAGAAGTAGCAGTAAACTAAGAATTCAGCAAAATTATCCTTCAAAAATGAAGGTGCAGACAGACATTCTCAAATACAGAAAGACTGGAAGGATTTATTGCTAGCAGAACTGCCTTATAAGAAATATAAGTAATTTCTTCAGGCTGGAAAGAAATGATACCAGGTTGTAACTTAAGTCCAAGGAGGAAATGAGGAACACTGAAAATTGTAGCTGTGAGTTCATAGAAATGACTAAATATATTTTTTCTTATTTAAAAGATAAAAGATTGCATGTAGCAACAATGATAAAACCATGCTATTGGGTTTAACGTATATAGAAGCAAAATCCAAATATATATGACCATAATAGACAAAGGAAGGGGAATGTGGTGGATCAAAGTTTCTACCTTTGCTAAATTACTATTATTTTGAAGTAGATAAATGATGTTATAAGATAAGTGATATATTAAGTGATAAGATGCATATTGTAAGGATACAGCAACCACTTAAAAAAAAAAACCTAAAAACAAAATACTAAACGAAAATTAGTAGAGAAACTAAAATGGTATAGCAAAAAGCATTTAGCACAAAAGAAGGCAGTAAAGGAAGATAAAATAAGACAGTAAATCTAGGAAACAAGTAGCAAAATAGCAAATATAAACCCACCATGTCAATAACCTGATTATCTAAACATGCCAAACAAAAGGCAGATTCTGTTAAGCTGGATTTCCAGCTATCTTCTGTTTATGAGAGACGCACCTTAAATTAAAAAACACAAACAGATTGATAGACAAAGGATGGAAAAGGATAAACCATACCAACAGTAACCACAAAAGAGCTAGAGTGACAATATTAAATATCAGACAAAATGGATATTAAAATTGTCAGCACATGGGTAGCCATTACAATTACAAATGCACGTACGCTAATAATGGCCTCAAAATATAGGAAAAAAAATTGAACTGAATTGAAAGG